ATTAATTTGATTAATTAATTTGCCCCGAGTGCACTATTCACTCTATTTAAATTCTGACTTGATATTCTTGATTTACATGCCATATAGCTTCATATATATTTGATTTAGAATATTCGGTTAGGTTTTGAAACCTTTTATTGAATTAAATTCCATGTTTAAGATTTAATCCTCATGGTGATATACAACTTGCGATTGTATTGTGGCATGCTAGAAAATTAAGCTTAGGTATAGTTGTTCACATATATTAAATTAGGATTAATTGCATGAGAATTGCAACTTTTAATTTCTATTTAACTTTAGTGAAAGTTTAATTCACATAGTCTTAAATTGAATGAAATAAACTTGTAATGCGATATTACATTAGTTTTTGGCTTGCTTTCCAACATAGGTTAATTTGAGAGCATTTGGTTAAGTTTGAAAATCTAGAGATTTTAATTAAAAGAATTAATTAAAATCTATTTTGTGGTCCCATTAGTTTAAGGTTTTAACTTGATGTTTGTATTGGCCATGACTTGTTTACTAGTATTTATTAATTGTGGACCATTTGAAGTTGCTTTAGAACCTTGGTAATTAAATTAGCATGATTTAATTAGAGTTTTACTTTGTTGTTCCAATAACCTAATTGAGTTTTAGAATGGATATAGGTGATGACCATGCCATGTTCTTTAATATGTATTAATTTGAGGTTATTTGGAATTGAATTAGAATCTAGGGAATTTAATTATTTTTATTTAATTAAATTCTATCGAATTGAGCCATGGATTTAATTGTGTTTGAAAGTCGTTTCTATATCAAAATCCTGGACATGGACTTGTTGTATATTCATTTGGTTATGTTTTGAGCATTGGATAACATAGTTGCTATGTTTATACTCATGAGAATATGTTTTCCTTATTGAGTATACTATTGCCTTATGTAATGATTTGCACATTTTGTATTTAACATCATTTATGCATAGCGTGTAACGAATCGCACACTGAAGATTCGACATTCACCACATCATATTAGTTGTGGACTTAGAGCATGTACTGTATAGGTTTCCAAATTTGGTTGTGCTTGGTAGATAGTTGATTATCTTGCATATTCCTGTTGATATATGCATTGTTGCACAACTTGTTGATTTTGGAAACTTGGGGATGTCGTTGTTTGACTATGGCTAGGACGTGGTTCTAGTACGGGGGATAGTCCCTCTATATGGTCTAGTGCGCACATAGGGAGGTTACCCATGGGCTAGTAACCCTAAAGTAACTATGTTGTCGGTCTGATCCGGCGTGACGTCCGAGTATCTACTTTGTTTGATTTCGCATTTCATTTTCAAGTTGATAACTAGATGATGTTGTAACTTGTTGTTTCTTATTTGTCGTTCCATTTTAAGTTATAGGACGTTAACTTTGCGAAATTGTGCTTTATGCGTTGTATTGGAAGTTCCAATGATGGTTAAATTGCATCGATATTGAAAATCGTGTTTTGACGTTCTAATAAAGCGTAGGATTGATCCTATTGATTTATTTATAACATAGACGTTAGGTGGCATGAACCACTACTGTTATTTTGTGCTTTAGATTCTAAGTTGATGGCTTTGAGAACTTAAACCTTGTTGCATTGTATAACATGCTCTTTTATTGTTGAATTGCATGGATAATGTGATTCTTGTTAACTTGTATTCAAATATGCTTTTGTCATGTTGTATGGATTACTCTAGACCTAGTTCAATTGTATTGAAAATGCAATTCATGTTAATCTATGCTCAAGCATTCTTCTTGTCGTGTTCTTTAGATTATCCCAACCATGATTCGTTTCATACACCTATGTATATAATGATTCTTGTTGCTTAGACTCTAAGGTAGCTTAGGATGCTCCCCGAGTGTCACTTGGACATAGACGTTAAGTGGCATGAGCCCCTTTAACATGTTTCACCTTAAGGTGATAAATTTGTAAAATGCTAGGTCGATGCATGCTCATCTCCTACGAGTAGCTTTATGTTACTCACCCCTACGATACTGGGGCATATTTCAGGTACGAAGACTTGGTTCGTGAAGCCTAGCATTCCTTGGATGTCGAGTAGCTTTCAAGTTTCCATTTCATGCAAATGTTAGCATGAAATGTCATTTTGTAGACTTATATGTCAAAATATGTATGTTTGATTCCATGTATGTAATGTGTACTTAAGTACACTCCTTTCAATGTATTTGATATGTATGAGATGAGGCCGGAGGCCAATGACATGTATATCGTATTGTATGCAACTTTTAACTTCATGAAATGTTATGAAAAACTTGAAAAATCGCAAGTCATTACTTCACCACGGTTGCATCTGGTGTGGGAATTCCATTTTCATTCTTTTATAGGGTCTTATTAATCTTGTATGAAGTATGGTCAAGGGCCAAACGGTCATTTGGTCCCGTTTTGCATCTTTAGATTCCATGTTTTCCATTCCAAGTCCATTTTTGCCTTTTTGCCCGTTGGGGGGTCGGATTTTGCATCGGCTATATTTTTAAGCCATGGACCATTGTAGCACGTCTAAATAGGTAAGTTACGTTTGCGTACATAGTCGTTTCTGGGCAAAACCTCATCGTTTGTGTTTTGAGCCTCTTGTGAATTCATTTCGCATTTTTTTTGCATATTCTGATCTAGGGGCATTATGAACCTTTCACCTCAGTTTTATTTTCTTCTTTTGACATGGTCGCTTAGAAAACGTGATTTTAGGGGGGGTTTCTTTTTCGTGTTTTTCCAGAAAATGTTGTCTTGGTACCGGAAATCCCTCGTGAAGTTTCAGCTTCCAGTTTTCATTTAGCAGCTTTATGACCCTCTTGTTCAGTTCTGATCTAGGGGCATTTTCGGGATTTCACGGTGAATTTTTTTTGATTCCGTCCACGATGTCGTGTAGAAAACTCGATTTTAGGGGGGGGTTTCTTCTTCGTGTTTTTCCAGAAAAACTCGTCTCGACCTCCATTTCAGGCCTCAGTTCTGGGCAGATCAAAAAAAAAAAAATGTAGCAGCAGCCAAGGGCTGCCACCAGCCATGTCTTTGGGCGCCGGTGGGCTCGCGCATGGGCGCCGTGTGCGCCCTGGCCCCTCGTCGGGCCGCCGCGACGTCAATTCTTCTTTTGGGCTTTTCTCCTTCGTCCGGACTCCGATTCAAGTGAATTTTTTTTTGAACTTGACTAATTTTTTGCTGTCTTTCCAATGATGTGCTCGGTTGCACCCGGTTCTTCCTGGATAATTACCAGTTTACCCTTTTTCTTTAAGTGCTCGTTTTTCTTCGTCATGCTGTTTCTCCTTTGTTCGGACTCCGAATCATGCGATTCTTGAGTCGATCTTGATTAGTTTTTCGTTGTCCTTCCAGCGGTGTGCTCGGTAGCACCCGAATCTACAGTTTTTAGAAATGACTATTTTGCCCCTGGGGGCTTATTTCGCATATTTTCGATCTTTTGCTTCCGCATCAGTTCTTGTTGAGTTCCACGACCTAATGGAAGGTCACTTTGACTTCTTAGAGTCTTGTTTTCTGTTTTCGCTTCCGCATTCGGATCCGTTATCGGATCATCCTTACGGTTCATCACAGGACACGCTGGCCTAAAAACCAGGGTCGTCACATTTCGGGGACGAAATTCCTTTAAGGGAGGGTAGGTTGTAACGACCCGGTCATTTGCCTCCCTTTCCTTTTTCTTGAAATTTTACGAATGAATTTTTTTCGTTTAATTTTCTTTTCTGAGCTCTGTTTCGTGTCGCTTAGTGTCATCTTGAGTGCTCAGAATTGGTTTCTGAGACTCTTTCATGTGAATTGACAACTTTTTAACTTCATGAAATATTGTGAAAATCTTGAAAAATCGCAAGTCATTGCATCACCATGGTTGCATCGGGTGTGGGAATTCCATTTTCATTCTTTCATAGGGTCTTATTAATCATTTTTGAAGTGTGGCCAAGGGCCAAATGGTCATTTGATCCCGTTTTGTATTTTTGGATTTCGAGTTTTCATTCCAAGTTCCATTTTTGCCTTTTTGCCCATTGGGGGGTCGGATTTTGCATCGGCTATATTTTTAAGCCATGGACCATTGTAGAGCATCTAAATAGGTAAGTTACGTTTGCGTGTATAGTCGTTTCCGGGCAAAACCTCATCGTTTGTGTTTTGAGCCTCTTGTGAATTCAATTCGCATTTTTTTTGCATATTCTGATCTAGGGGCATTATGGACCTTTCGCATCAGTTTTGTTTTCTTCTTTTGACATGGTTGAATAGAAAACATGATTTTAGGGGAGGTTTCTTCTTCATGTTTTTCCAGAAAATGTCGTCTTGGTACCGGAAATCCCTCGTGAAGTTTCAGCTTCTAGTTTTCATTTAGCAGCTTTATGACCCTCTTGTTCAGTTCTGATCTAGGGGCATTTTCGGGATTTCACGGTGAGTTTTTTTCGATTCCATTCCCGTTGTCGGGTAGAAAACTCGATTTTAGGGTGGGTTTCTTCTTCGTGTTTTTTCAGAAAAACTCGTTTTGACCTCCGTTCAAGCCTCAGTTCTGGGCAGATCAAAAAAAAATGTAGCAGCAGCCAAGGGCTGCCACGAGCCATGTCTTTGGGCGCCGGCATGCACGCCGGTGGGCTCGCGCATGGGCGCCGTGTGCGCCATGGCCCCTCGTCGGGCCGCCGCGACGTAAATTCTTCTTTTGGGCGTTTCTCCTTCGTCCGGACTCCGATTCAAGTGAAATTTTTTTTGAACTTGACTAATTTTTTGTTGTCTTTCCAACGGTGTGCTCGGTTGCACCCAGTTTTTCCTGGATAATTACCAGTTTACCCTTTTTGCCTTAAGTGCTCGTTTTTCTTCGTCATGCCGTTTCTCCTTCGTCCGGACTCCAAATCATGCGATTCTTGAGTCCATCTTGATTATTTTTTCATTTTCCTTCCAGCGGTGTGCTTGGTGGCACCCGAATCTACAGTTTTCAGAAATGACTATTTTGCCCTTGGGGGCTTATTTGTCATATTTTCGATTTTTTGCTTCCGTTTTAGTTCTTGTTGAGTTTCACGACCTTATGGAAGGTCACTTTGTCTTCTTAGAGTCTTGTTTTCTGTTTTTGCTTCCGCATTCGGATCCGTTATCGGATCATCCTTACGGTTCATCACAGGACACGCTGGCCTAAAAACCAGGGTCGTCACAATATCTATATTTCCTCAAACGTTCCGATATTTCCGTAGTTACTCGCTTGAAATCAGTTTCATTGTCATGTGCATCCACTCCAAAGGTCACCTTTATAATGAATATTTAATTTAAGTTAAAAAGAGCCCAATAATTCACACAACAAATAGCACTAAAAATATGAAAAATAAATAATATGTCAACAAAACAGGTAATAAAAATGGTATAGTATTCCCCTTGTGATATAGAAAATAAAAGAACTCGTTACCTTAAAATGGTCATAGCAGACCTGTCTCTCATAATCTGGAATTTCCCTCCACGTTTTATATTTCAATAGCGCTTCTTTATCTCTCTCATGGATGCCAACCTCAGCCGTTCATAAATTGTGATTTTGCCAACGGGTTTAATATAACCCGTCCCAAACTCTACCGGAATTGGAACATCCTTTCCATAGAGTTCCTTAGCTTTGTGTAGGGCTATATTCTTTACTTTTCCATGCCCTTTTCGTACTGGGCCTGAAAAATAAATTATCAACTTAACTAAAACATAGTCATTCTACAAAAATGCTTGTAGTTAAATTAATGATGAAGCATAATTATCACCTCTACTTAGTTGTGGCCTCGTCTGCAAAGTATTACCAACACCTTCCATAATAGGCTGTTGACTTATTGAATTACTACCATCAGCTTCTCCCCTCGGTTGTGTGGCAGCTAAACTTATAAATGGTGTCTCAGTTCGAGTTTGAGCCACGCTGGACCTTAATATTCTACGCATTGGTGCCTCAGAAGTGTCCATAATTCTGTTTGCAAGCTGATATGAAGAATCAAGTAATATTAAATAAAAATAAACAAGCATATGCAGAATACATTATGAGTCATCATTTGATATTCGCTACTTCAGAACATAAACAGAAAATAAATCAAGTGATCTAAGATTAGTTTAAATAAATCAGAATAGTAATGAAGCACATAACCAAACAAGGCTAATTAATTTCCAACACTCAACAGATAGTAAAAGGTAAATATATTGAAAAAGAGAAGGAACTCAATTCAAGATAAAGTTCACATAATGTATTAATCATGATTCCAAAAAAATACGGCACATGCTCAACAATACAAAGCTTCATATGTCATCTAAATCAGTATCATCGTCGGACAATAATTCTGGTTCCTCATCTGAACTATATTGAATGTCATCTCCATCATCATCCTCGTCAACCCAAAAGTCGTCATTAATTGCTCTTTCACCACTACATTTTTCAATCATTTCAGCATCAAGGGTTTCACCCTCTAAATCGTCCTTGATCAAATAGAGTGGATCCATGTCCAAGTCCACTTCAGCAATCCTATCCACGATGCTTGGTTCGTTCTCTTGGTATGCTGTAGTGTTAAGCATTTCATCCTCTACTACTGCTTCGCCCTCTTTTTCAGGTACATCAAATGAACTTCTATTTGTTATATCTTGAACTACCTCCCATGTCCCTTGAAATTTGTTGTCTTTGACGTAGAAGCATTGTTTTGCTTGATTTGCTAACGCAAATGGCTCATTTTTGTAAGCTCTACTGGCTACATTTATGCTCTTAAATAGGTATCTTTATGCATACCAATCCTAACATCAAACCATTCATATTTGAAAAGGAAGATTTGTCTACCCAGTGGATATCGTAACTCAATGATATCTGTTAGTTTACCATAGTAATCTTCGCATTCTTCTTTCACTAACACACCACAATTCTGTGTTCGTCGATTTTGTTCCCTTTCCTTAGTATGGAATCTAATCCCATCTACAATACAAGTAGAATATCGACTTACTAGAGATCCAGGTCCACACGCTAGCGAATACAGATCATCACAAGTTGTTTCCTTTTGATGATGACGCATTTTCAAGATCTATTGAAAAAATTGTAGTGTTAAATAAATGATAACACATCATTTTCATTAAATAAAAGAATTTGATTAATTAAGTCCAATATATACATGATGGACTTACTTGTGTTTCGAACCATCTAGAAAATTATTTTGCATGTCTTTGAGGAACATTTCACGGATCTTGTCTCTCAAGTTTCACCTTATGTTTTCTAAACAATTAGATGGTGTTAAGATAAAATTGTGTACATATATTAAGCAATAAACTATATATTCACATAAGCTGACAAGATATGACATGTAATAAGTTACTTATTCTTCGTATGACTTAACTACTTCAGAATTTTGTAATATGTACAATCGGGCCATCTCCATATCCTCAGGGGACAATATCTCCAAACTTTGTGCCTCTAGGGGTTGAACTACTTGCTTTAGATCTGAAATAGTGGTCCAATTATTGTTGCAATCCCCCTCACTATTTCTTTCTTCTCGATTGAACCGTGTCTCAATCCCTCTGAGAAATTTTGAACAAAATGTCAAGCATTCATTGTCTAAGTAAGCTTCAGCAATGGACCTTTCAGGACGTGCTTTGTTACGCACGTACAGTTTAAGGGTATGCAAAAATCTACATAACCATTAAAATTATCACAAATATTTAAATCTATCAGACCATTAGAATTTGTCATAAAAATAATGTTTGTGTATTAAAAAAATTACAGTACCTTTCAATGGGGTATATCCACCGATATTGTGCGGGGCCAGCAATAATGGCTTCATGCGGCAAATGCAGAGCCAAGTGCACCATAATGTCAAAAAATGACGGAGGAAATATCATCTCCAACTTGCATAGTATAATAGCAATGTCCCTTTCCATTGCCTCTAAGACATCCAATTTAACAGTTCGACAACACAATTCCTTAAAGAATAAACCAAGCTCTGCGATTGCATTACAAATATCCGAATCTAAAAATCCTTGTATAGCTATGGGGAGGAGGCGCTGTAACAGAACATGTGAATCATGACTTTTCAATCCAGATATCTTGCAGTTATCAACATTCACACACTGACTTATGTTTGAGGTATAGCCATCTGGGAACTTAACTGATTTTAGCCATTCACACAATTGCTTTTTATCATTCTTTGACAATGTGTTGCGCACTCGTGGCATCTCAAATTTTTCACCATTACGCTTGAGATGTAGTTCTTTTCTAATCTTCATTGCTTCTAAATCCAACCGACTTTTGAATGTATCCTTCGTTTTTCCTTCAATATCTAATAATGTCCCCAACACATTATCGCATATGTTTTTCTCTATATGCATAACATCTAGGTTGTGCCGCAACAAAAAGGTCTGCCAATAAGGTAGTTCAAAGAAAATACTCTTCTTTGTCCAGTTAAGTTCAAATTGTTCACGAGTTTGCTTCTTGTTACTTGGTCCCTTTCTGAAACTAACCTCGAGTATGTGGTTAAGTTGTTCCAGAATATCATCACCTATCAACTGTTTTGGTGGCCCTTTATCTTGCTTCTCACCATTAAACTGCTTATACCACTTCCTAAAAATGTGATCTAATGACAAAAACATACGACTTCCCAAATAACATATCTTTCGTCCGTGTTTCAAATAACAAGAACATGTTTCTTCGTTACAATTTGGACATGCTAGATAACCCTTCTTCATCCATCTAGAAGCCATCGCATAGGCAGGAAAGTCAGTAATGGTCCAAATCATTGCCGCATGCATTTTAAAGTTACATTTACTGTAGGCATCATACGTCATCACACCATCCCTCCACAATTCTTTTAACTCTTCAACCAAAGGTCGCATATACACATCAATATCATTACCAGGCAAGGTTAGACTAGGAATAAGCAACAACATGAACACATATGGTTCCTTCATACATATCCAAGGGGGCAAATTATAAGGCATAATCATCACAGGTCACATACTAAAGGAATTGCTCATGCTACCAAATGGATTGAACCCATCAGTTGCTAATCCAACACGAACATTACGAGGATCAGCAGCAAACTAACTATGCTTATTATCAAAATCCTCCCAAGCTTTTGAATCAGCCGGATGTCTTAACTCATTTGTCTCCTTCACACGCTTCTCCTTATGCCACCGCATATCTAAGGCTGTATCCTTCGACATAAACAACCGTTGAAGTCTTGATTTCAAAGGGAAGTACCGAAGAACTTTTTGAGGGACTTTCTTACCCTTACCTTTGTGAGGTTTATACCTCGACTCACCACATTGTGGACAATTTTCCTTACCTGCATTCTCTTTCCAAAATAGAACACAATCATGTTTACATGCATGGATATACTCATATCCGAGACCCAAATCTCGCAACAAGCTTTTAGTCTCGTAATGAGACTTTGGTAACACATTGTTGTTAGGAAGCATCTCTTTAAATGCCATAAGCATCATGTCAAATTTTTTGTTGCTCATTCGACCCATAACCTTCACATGGAATAACTTTAATATCGCTGACAACTTCAAGAATTTTTGACAACCTGGCCACAATTCACATTGTGCATCATTTAACAATCTAGAAAATTTTCCTCCTCCCACATCAACATCAGGCAAATCTTCTTGTTGTTGTGCATTATTGAAGTTTCCCATTTGTACGTTATCCAACAACTCAAATACATTATCTACATTTCTATCTTCATTATGGGCACTTTCCCCACTAACATTAGCACCAATATTAACATTATTGCTAGTTTGAGGAACCTCCCCGTGATATATCCAATAGGTATACCCCTTGTCCATCCCATTACTCAAGAGATGTTGCTTAACCTGTTTAATTTCAAGATATTCCTTATTTTTGCAACGACGACATGGACATCGGGTAATACCACCTGTCTGTGCATGATGACTAGCCACCTTAATGAAGTTTTCTATGCCATCAAAATAGATTCGATTACCCCTAATGTGATGATGAATCCAAGACTTATCCATGTAACTGCTATTTTACATTAAAAAAAAAAAAATGTTATAATATCAATTATAAACAAGTCATTTTATGCCTATGTTGAATATATCATAACTCTTTAAGAATGAAAATCAATCATATTATAAGGAAAAACAACAAAGAAATCCATTAAATAAAAGTGAAAGCAAGGTCATTGTAATGCGTTGAGAAGTAGCTAGCAAAGAATAATGTCTATTAACTTTGATTTGAAGCCCCTTCTTTATTTTTCAGTAAAGGGATCCTCTCTTCGGTTTCTCTAAAACCCAACTCAAACCTTTGCAAACAAACAAAGGTTATTGAACTAAACAGAATGTAGTATTATTATTGATCTAAACAGAATTAACTGATTCTTTCATTTCTATTACTGCACTTTCCAAACTTAAATGTAAATGAAATTATTGTAGTTGCCACAATTTTAAATTATAAACTTATAAACTTTTAATAAGTTCAAACATTCAATATATTAAAAATATAAGATATGTTGTGTTTATGTAAGAACAAACAAGTTAGCTAGGATGAGAAGACGATCACAGCTGTAGTGGGGGAGTAGTGAGAATATATGCATGGCCTATTACTGGTAAAGAAAAATGGTCCATTAAAAAAAATATCTGCAAAACAAAATATATGTACTTGATCCATAGGCTCTCTTTTTTTGGTAGGGAGGGGGGAAGTGGTAAAATATCATTAAAAGGCGCCAAAACAAGGGTACAACACATATAAACAGGAGGTACACAAGAAGGAAGATAGAAAAATGCTTTCCTAACCAAGTAATATCGCTAAATTAAATAGAATATTGTATATTTTCCTGTGGAATTCTGTTGATGTGGTTTTCTCTTTGAATGACAAATACTAATCTTGAGGCTAAATGGTATCACCTATCTTAAGGTTTGTTCCTGAATACAAGTCTTAACACGGGCATATTAGTCTTTCTATACATGGGAGCAATATTGCTACACTTGTCTTT